TCCCAAAAGTCAGGATCTCGGCGAGCAATCTCGGCGAGTTGCGCTGAGCGGCTTGGCTGGCTGCGAAGCACGAAAATCTCTCCTTAAGGCCCAGTTCCACCAAGCCCTGCTTTCGGAGAGGCCCTCGCAGAGGGGCTCTCCTTGAGAGGGAGGTCTGGCCGACTTTTTGGAGAGGCGACTGCATCGCGCCCCAAGTTTCTCTCCCAAAAGTCGGCCAGACCCCCCTCTCAAGGAGAGCCCCTCTGCGAGGGCCTCTCCGAAAGGCAGGGCTTGGTGGAACTGGGCCTTACTTCGCAGCCAGCCAAGCCGCTCAGCGCAACTCGCCGAGATTGCTCGCCGAGATCCTGACTTTTGGGAGAGCCCCTTGCGGAGGAACTCGCCGAAAATTATTAAGCCTGCCCGTTGGATTTCTCGCCGAAAACTTTGTGGCCTGCCAGCCAAATTCCTCGCCGAAAGAATTGCTGATCATTGCAGATCCGCCGCCTGCGTTCCTCACTGAGCTTTGCCTGATCGACAGCCAGGTCCATCCCGCAGTTGCGAGCACACCTGGAGCCCCTGTGCATGCCTTAGCCAGCAACGCAATCAAGAAACTCTCATCCTGCGAAAACGGCCCATGGGATTTTGAATGGCCGGCAAAGTAAAGCCATGACATACACAGCTAAGTCTCGTTTCGACCAAACAACCAACCTGGCGAAACAACCAAGTTGAGCGAAAGTTATATATTCTCATTTGCCAGTGCCATTTGTTTGTCCAAAAGCACACGAAATGAAGTTCGGCGCAAATCATTTGTTGAGATGAGACCACTGGATGATGTCTAATTTGCCACCAATCCCGCAAAAAGACATTGTTGGGCACTTGCTTCGCGGCCGGAGGTGCTGTACTTCCAGTTCCTGGCGTTTCTGACGCTGATCTTCTTGACCCATCTATGTTTGCAGGCGGGCCATCAAATTGGAAAGAAGCTTGGAAGGATTCGAGGGGTAACAGCGCTCAAAGGGGGGGGAAGGACAGGCTTTGGAAAGAAAGTCAAGAATGGGGAACACACCCGCTATGAGGTTCCTGTCTGAATGCTCCCCCCAGGGGCCAGTTTCCAGCTTGGACCCTTCACTTTCCAGGGCACGGATTTACCAATGAGCCAGCACAGAGAACTTGATTCAGAAAGAATGCTGCGGGCAGCGCTCCGCGAATGATACCCATTGGAAAGGAGGCATTGTACAAAGTAACAGGCGCCACCAATTCTGAGGGCTGATGAGATTCACATTCAAAGAACCTCACCCCCCCCCCAGTGGATCCCATTGTGTAGCAGGCAACTCGGGAATTGTACGGCTTGGCGGAAGAACAATTCCAGTGCAGTGGATCCATTAAGATCACGGGGAAAGACAATTGGAATCTTTTTCGAGGTGGAGCCGGCTCCATTTATGTGCACTCCACATGAGTGCTTCTTGAAATAGGGAGCCCCTTCACGCTGGGTGCTTCCCTTTAGAACCACCTGCAAAAAAGGGTCCACAAGGTAAATGGCCAAGCTCAACCTGCCCACTAGCTCCTCTTGGCGGATTTGGCACTGGAAGCCTTAGTCGGAGTTTGGAGTTTTCGCACAGTGAGACGTGCTGGGTTTTTCTGCCAAAATCGACCCAAAAGCAGATTGCTCACACAAGCACGGGTTTGGGTTTCATGTCGATCAGCAGGGGAAGACTGGAAATTCCTAGGATGTTCCTCATGACTTGTGGTCTTAAACGGCGCCTTCTGGTGTCTGTTCTAAGTGGGGCCACGCAATAGGCCGAACTAGAGAGACCTCACAAAGGTATTTGGTTTGTGAGCTCCCCATGGTGACGGTTCCTTTCAGAGGTGTCCCACTATCTCAGGTTGGTAAAGGCACTGTTTGGTTGGCTCGCTGAAAGCACCAGAGCTGCTAAGGTGCTGGGATGCACCGGAATAAATGACTACTTTGACGCCCCCGTCTTATGTCTCTCAAAGGATGTGCCAACCATGAGCTCTTCAAAAAGGCTGCAGCGGCAGTATAGTGGGTAAAGTACATACCCCAAGCACATCCTTGGCTCATGGGACCCCAAAGGGGTCCATTTCGGGTATACAAGTACTTTTGGCGGGTTGCCAGGTGCCCTGCATGGTGAACTATGCGGAGTCCAACTACCTCACAGTGCGCCCGCGCTATTTACGGAAAGGTCGCGGGGTTTGGGCACAAAAGAAAGCTCACGGAGGTAAACCTGCTCGAAACAAAGAGCACTCAATAGGCTCCCAGCAAAACTTGTTGTTAGAGTTTCGTTGATGCGGTTCGAAGAGCATCCCCAAAGGCTTCTCCATTCGACGCGGTCCAACGGTTCTAGCATCGGTTGAACGCTGACCCGGCTATCGGCTTGGCGGCGATCCTGGACCCTGCATGAGCCCATGACATGACGGGACAACGCCATTCCAACAACTTGAAGGCAGATGAGAATCGACCCCAGATTCAAGTGGAACTTAGCGAGTGCTTGCCCCAAAATTGAAGGCTTCCCTCTATGAGCAACACTGAAGGGGGGGCGGCTTTTTTTTTACTCCAATCGTCAGCTTCATCAAGGGCACCGCGGCGTGTGTTGTTGTTCCAACCCTTTCGCATGGGTTGCTCATGGGCCAGTCAATGTCAGGAAAATGCTGACAAGGACAGGTCTAGAGTGTGCAAAGATCCAGGTGGGAGGGGGGGGAGCGATTCGCCAGGATTGGGCCTGGAACGAGTGGACTCAGGCTCCGTATGGGTGGACAGCGCCCACTCACAGAGTTGGCCGTGCCGCATTTCAGCCGAGTCACCCCGCAAAAATAGGTACTAGACCGGGAAGAGAAAGTGAGACACATTCTGAAGTCGGATTCCAGTGACCAATTGTTTGTCGACAACCATAGGATTCTTGGATGCCATCCACACATATGATACTATGGCTGTTCGGCTTGATTCTTCATTGCACGTGCTTGATGTTTCACGCTTGCAAGCTATGCAATTAGTTTGCACGGGAGATGCAAGACCCTTCGAATTTTAGCATGCTTATCCTCGTATGATAGGCACGATCTGAACTTTCTCATTCTTGGAAGGACGCCCCTCTTGGCAGATCTGATCTTCGCAGTTCCTTGTATCATCGCAAGTTTGCATTTCTTTACGAGCACCCATGTTCACTGCAATTGCGTAGCTCTTTGCGAGCCCATCCCGATGACAGAAAAACGATGACTGTCAATGTATTGATTTCGCATCATACTTAGCTTTAGCAATATGTTTTATGTCATCAAGACGTCCGGCGCCAAGACACTGACGACATGATGGTTTGTATTCTTGCTGCACATGACGCATGGACTGGTATGGACAACACAAAAGCGAGCAGTGCGAAAGGACATCGTGATCAATTGGTCATGCAGACATTTTGAATATTCGGGGTCTGGCCTTGTAGCAGAACACTACTCTTCCTGCAGACGAGCTGTAATTGTGAGTTCCACTCCGTGCATGAAAATCCAAGTCACGGTCTAGGACACTTTCTGGTTTTTCGGTCAATTGTTCTTGGACAATGACAGAACAGTGAAGACTGGAGAGAGATCAAAGGGGCATTCCAGGAAATATTGATTTGTGCGAAAGTCTTGGTCAAATCCACTCAAGCCGAAATGGCAATCGGATAGGCCGTTCCAAGCAAAGCAGCGAGCCAGGACAACATATGTTTGCACTCCAAAACCTGCTTGTCCGGCTCTGGCCACCTTTCTTTCGCCCACAAGAGGGGGTCCAATGTCATCCCAAGGCGGGTCAACACAAAACAGCCCCACAAAATGCTTTCTGGCAACCTGCCGAGCGCCATCGAAGATTCACGTAGAGAAAGACCTGCAGGCGTACGGGACGGCGGATGACGCTTGCAATTGTGCCTTGGCTCCGCGGGGTGTTTGCACGGCAGTCTGCCCTTGAGTCGGCGCGTGCTACTTGGGTTGCTATTCTCCAAGGGATGCCGGCCTAACTAACTCATGACACAGGGTCGTGTCTTGGGGTTTGCTTCTTTCAGATAGGTAAACCCGTAAAATTCTCCCAGAATAAATGTGCTAGAGGAGATCCGGTGATTGCAGTGATTTCTGTGGATGCACAGGAAGTCTCAATCAATTCCATGGGACTGTGGATGCCGAACGCGTGGAGGGTTCCCAGGACCAGCAACAGGGGAAGGTTCCACAGGGAAACAGCAACGCCGAAGGGTCAATCAAATGAAGACCGGCTCCCAGTTGCCATAAGTCAGCATTAGGACCCCTGAATTTATGTGACGGCCGGACAAACTTGGAAGGTCGCCATCGGGAGGTGTATCACAGTTTTACACTGGAAGGTCTGGAGGCGAAGGCGTCAAACGTTGGATTGTCAGCTGATTTTTGCCTCGCAAAAGAGTGAAGAAATCAGGTCAACATTGAAGGGAGAGAGCTGGGTTGTGATTCGAGAACCATCTCACCCACAGTGGATCGAGTCGCACAAGTTTGAAGCAACAAAGAAAGGCTGTAGAGGAAAGGCTCAGCAAGTCGACTGTTCTCCATGTTTGTTTGACAGGTTTGCTCAGGCTTGGGAGGCAGAGCTAGCAGACACATCCAAGTTTGCATCGCTTGGAAGGTCACCATGCGAGGGTCGGTGGTTTGTCATAGAGCCCGGATGATCAAGGATCATTGAAAGACGATAGATGAAATAGAGGTCTTGACAAAGGGAACTGTGATATATAGTGCACCTTCATGGACCCAGGTCCAGCATATTTACAGTACTGTTAAGCAGTTGTGGATTGTTTTTTTGGGAGTTTGGGAGGCCTCTTGTCATGCAGTTTGGACACTTGGACAGACCGTCGCAAACTTGGATTCTAGCTAGAATCCAGAGTTTTGGAGGCTTCAAGAGTCAAGGTCTTCCAGAAAAAATGTTTTCAGAATCTTGAGTCTTGCATCCTTGGCTTTAGATTCTAGCTCCTTTGGGAGATATTGACTATTGATTCCTCCAAAATCTGATTGACTCCAAAACTTAGAAAATGTTGGGAATGGGAACCAGGGTTTACTAGATGCATGTGGAAAACACAAAGGATGTACGTACGACACTTCTGTGAATAGCAACAATTTCAGGATGTTCCCCAGTTCTCATCATGCATTAAGCTTTGTTTCACTCAACATGTGCCTAGGCAAACTTTGGTATTTGCTCATTTCAAGGTGCCAGAGCACCTGCACCCAACATGCTACTTGTTGACTGTAAATGCTTTGAGAGCATTCAACACCAATCTGGGAGAGAGGGTTGCATGAATCAGTCCTTTAGACATACCATTGGCACATCAGCGCTGCCACCATCTTACCATAAATTGAGCAAAACTGCTGGATACAAATCTGGACTTTGGATACATGTTGGATGCTCTTTTCTGTGCCACAACCCTTTTCTTGGAACAGGGGAACCAGTCAGCGGGACCCTCTTGAGCGAAAATCCTGGGGGTCTGGGACTCGGACGTGCTAGTGCTAGCTTTAGTATTGCCAATTCGAATTTAGTATTGCCAATTCGAATTTAGTATTGCCAAGGCTGAGACTCAGATTCTCAGTACTTACTTGAGCCTTGCCAACTCTAATTTAGCTGGGAAGAGCCCGTTTGTTTCAGCAACCCCAAAACAGACACATTAAAGTGGATCGGGCCTCTTGTGGGCAACCCCCTGTGTGTGATTGGTTGCCCGTACTTTTTTGTAAAGAAGTTATAATGAATTTGATGGTTTTGAGACCACTTCAAAAAAGGATTTCCTAATATTTGCCCGGATTTGTTGCCCTCTTTGTTTTTGCCCGACTTGTTTGGCCAATTTGTTTTTGTCTGGATTTACCCCCAAACAGTCATAGGATCCTGAATTGGGAATACAACAGAGGACCCAGTTCCAATTGGGGGTCTAACATTATTATATTATATATATATATACTTTAGAGCCTCCGGCTCAGTCCGCCGACATTGTCCTCTCCCTTTTCTCCTTCTTCCTCTCTCTCTCTTGTCTCCTCCCCCGTGTGTTCTGTCGTCCTCTCTCCCTCCCTTTGCTTCCCATCCTCCCCATCCCCCCAAGCCTCTCTCTCC